TTTCAGGTCTTCCAATTGTGCGTCCATCACTGCTGTAACTGAGCCCATCCACCTTGTTGCTGGTTGTCTCTTCTCTTCCCTTTCACATTCCCAGCATCACAGACTTCTCCAGAGAGCTAGGTCTTCACATAATGTGTCCAAAGTATTTGTTGTTTGTGCCTGGAGTGAGAACTCTGGATCGATTTGTTCAGTGATCCATTTGTTTGTTTTCTTGGGTATCCATGGCATTCTCAGGAGTTTTCTCCAACTTCAAAGTTGAAAGGCATCAATACTCTATCTTCCTTCTCCAAAGTTCGACTTCGCTTCCATCATGTCAAAACCAATGCCTGCACGATTCTGATCTTTGTAGGTGTAGAAATATCCTGGTATCTGAATATTTTTTCCAAGGCCTTTGTGGCTACTCTATCAAGTGCTGGTCTGCGGTACATTTCTGGACCATTTGTTCCTTTACAGTTGATAGCTCATCCTAAAACACAGAAGCTATCCACCATTTCAATATATTTATTGTCAATCTGAAGGCTGGTTGTTGTACCTGTTGTCACAGGTCTGGTCTTCCTTATATTTAATCTTAGTTCCTTTTTTTTTTCACTGTGCTCCTTTACTTTCATTACTATAGCTTGCAGATCATTTGCATTTTCAGCTATCGGAGTATGGTCAAAAACTTAGCACAGGCTATTGATGTTTCTTCCTCCAATTTTAAAGCCACGCTCATCTTCCAATCCAGCTTCCCTCAATACATATTCAGCACGTAGGATGAATAAATGAGGGAAGAGTATACAGCCTTGTCTTACTCTTTTTTTGAGCTGGAACCAGTCTGTTTTGCCATATTCAATCTATACTGTGGCTTCCTGACCTGTATATAGGTTTTGCATGAGGACAAGATATTCTGGAATTCCCAATTTTCTAAACACATTCCATAGCTTGACATGCCTGACGCTTGAGTTTATTAGCAGAATATACATGAATATAAAATAAGCTCATGAAGCAATATGTATTTGAATGTACAGTATCTATTTTTGAGAGAAAAAAGGTAATAAGATGGATTACCCACATCATGGTAAGCTTGCTTTTGCTTAGCCTGATGTGTGAACCCTGCCTCTGTCACTTAGAAATACATGAAATAGCACATAATGCGAAAACAGCCCATAATATAACTGAAGGAACGAAAATCATCACACTAGCTAAACGCTACAATATATAAGTATAAAGACATGCTTCAATAAATGTCTCTTTCTAAAAAGACTGATCAGCAAACCACTTTTTCTTGCCATGATTAATATATAATATAAAGGAATGTAAACAGTATAGAAAATATTAGACCTGGCAAAGTCTACAGAGAGACATATCTAATAAATCAAATTATTTAGGTATACTGGGTGACTAAGACATTACTCAATCTCCTTGGAAAATAAATAAAGGTCAACCATGTGACTGTGATTTTTAATTATATTCTGAAAATTTGTAATCTATCAAATATGAGGAACTTTGGATTTATCAAGCACGGGCAGCAGTTAAGATTGTTTTACTCTAGTGGAAAAACTTTAGTATACCTGATTTAAAACATGTGTTATCTACATATAAACCTCCTACAAGACCATGGGAAATCTGATTGTGATTTGATGTAGTCAAAATTTAATTTGTGGTTTAAGAGCAATATATATAACAACACTCTCATAAATTTAATTGTTTTAATATGCATTCAATTTTTTTCTATACTATCTATATAAATCTACACTATCATCTCATTGTATTTTTTTTATTGTTTTCCTATTCTCTTCTGTTACACATTAACAAGCAATAAAGTCTAAGAAAAATGTTGCCAGGATTGTATATTTTGACAGAAAGTGTTCTCTCACAAGAAAATGCTTTATTTCATTACATTAACTATTAACTATTAAATGAATTGATTCTATAGAACTCAAACCTCAGACAACTAGGAAGTATTACATGTATTTCTTGTAAATGTTTTCAGGCACACAAAACATAAATTTTAAAAAATTTAATAATTTAAAAGAACTGAAGTTATACTTTTAAGTATATAAATATTCCAATAAGAATGTTTTAAAATAAAAATTACAACATAAAATATAAAATGGAAGACATACTACCTGAACATGAATATCTAATCAGATATGCAATTCAACTACTTTGAGTAATGAAAAAACATTTGGTATTTTTATACATAAAATTAATTACTGTATTTAGTTTTGTTTAATGCATGTAAGTTAAAGATCCAATTTGTACTAGAAAAAAAAAGCATCACTATATAAACTTGCAATATTATATACGTAACATGCCTAATATAAAGTACGTATAAACATTAATGATTGTGCACACACTGACATCATGGAAATAAACATATCTAGTATATTCTGTAAATGCTGTCTGCCAGCTTTCCCACATTTGGGCCTATATAGACACACAAATACTACCCATTCTTAATGCTGTCCATGTGTACAAAGTCACTACATCTTCATGTGAATATGCACAATTTTCAGAATTACAGGCCAGTTTACACAAGATACCAATTTCAAAGTCCTCCCCTAGAAGTAAAATAAAATAAAATAAAATAAAATAAAATAAAATAGCCTGTATTTCCTAAATAATGTACAATGTCAAAAAGTATTCAAAAGAAAGTATGATCACTTAAGCATGCAAATACATTGATTTGAATGTTACCTGCTCTTAAATACAATTAACTCCCTGTAAATGGGGACTCCAACTAACAAAACAGAGCTCTGCAATTCACTACATTTTGTCAAGCAATATGTTTTTATAATTTTATAAAACGTATATATCTTTATATAATTATACAAAAAACCTAAATCTCCACAGTAATTACAGCCATAATTTCCAGGATAGTTTTATCTCTCTCATACAGTAGCACTCATTTAAAATACACAAAAGAGTATACATTTATCTTACATGTTATGATACGTCCCGTTATTTCTCTTTCTCTCTCTCCAAATCAAAGAAATTTTCATTGCTCCATTAGCATAATGTCTACCCTAAAATTTGCTTCCTCCTGATGTAATGATGGGCATTTATGAATTAAGGGACAGATTAATTCCAACTAGCTGCCAGTTTTCATCCAGAGATAATATATATATTTCTGAGCATATTAGCGACATATTCCTAATATACATATTCAGCAAATAAAATTGGCTTTACCCCAGTAAGAAAGCTATTCCTTAACAGAAAACCTAAAATCACAGTTGACATTCTTTTCCTTGCTATTTTCATCTCTAGCCTCCTTCCTCACGTCATCACCACCACCATTTTATTGGCATAATATTTATAGCTTATGTAGAATCAGGACAGAGATGGAAAAACAGAACACCGAACCAAATTAGCATTTTAATTTTGAGCTTTCTGTTTCTATGGCAAAAGAACTAAACCTTGTAATGCATTGCTCAAATTCTTGGAAATGCACCATTTGAAAACACAGTACGAATCTCTTGCTTCTCTACCCCACCCTACACACCATTTTTTATCTATTTCTCAGTGCTGTGTTATTTTTCATTTTAAAAAATGAAAGATGAAAAATAAATGCCACCTTTTTATGGCTGTCTTCTCTCCATTTTTTCCACTTAAATCCAGTGAAACTGCTCCTGTTCTAAGGCTCTACATACAGGCAGAGATACCTTTTTAATTATGTGCCTTCTCTCTTCCTAATTATCTAAAATGTTTAATATACTGGATTATATTCTCAATTATACATTTTGATAGATATCTGATATAAAATTAATATTATGTCTACTTAAATTATGCTATCATATCTTATAAAGGAAATAGCTACAAAACATAGAATTGTGGGTCAAACGTAAAAAGATGCATGCATTTGCAAACAGCAATGTTACTACATATGAAATATATTCTTAGTCTCCATATTTTCTAACAGCAAAAATCATAAGCAAAAGATGGTTGCTTGTTAGCTCTGGTAGGAAAGTCATCATGTTACATAAATGTAAAATTAAAATAACAAAGTATGAATATAAGCAAATTGGCAGATAATGTTATTGCTCTAAGAGGCTTCTGAGTAATTCTGTCCTTACCTGCAGGCATGAACCATTACTGCATGCAGTGACTGCTCCATTTCCTAGCACAGACTTGAAGCAGCATCACAACCCTCTCACAGAATGTGACTAATTCATAGGTTTGCAATTCCTAAGCTATTACTAAGGACACTCCCTTGCAATACACATAAAGCTTTGAAAGATTCTATTTTCTGCTAGGTTAAATTCGAGAATTATGCCATTTCTTTAGTAGCATCATCATCTGCAACATCCCTACAGAACGTCTCTGTCAGGTTTTTAAAATCAAGATGGATTTGTTGGTGGAAAACACACAAGCACAAAGACACATCGACTGCAGCAACAGTATAAACATATATACATGTATGTGTATCGTAATATTATATTATGATTTTGCATGCTGCACAGATTAAATTTCATTTCTTTTTTGAAAATGAAGTAAAAACCTTTTCAAATATCAAAGCTCAACCAAAATATAGGTTCAATTAAGACATTAAAAGGCAAACATGATATA